ATAACACTGAATTTCCCTACAGGGAGTAATGCAGGATCAGAGAAGACCAAAAACAAGAATCCCTCTTGAAAAATCACAAGAAACAAATTGAAACTTTGGCAGATTAAGAGGAGTTTAAAACAACTTGTTGGCAAAATGTGTGAATGAATATCAGGAGGATTTCATTTTGCCTCCATCTGAAGAGAAAATGCAGCTCGTGTCCTTTAAAGACAAACTAACAATAAAAATATGTTCTGGTGTCGTGACAAACACTGAAGAGTATAACTACGCTTCTCCGCATTAACACGGCAAATCTCCATTAGCGAGTTATCGCGGATCGCCCTGTGTGGGGCTGCACGGCGTCAACGTGTTAGCTCGTTAATTAATACGCTGACAGCACTAACACACATATATATATATATATATATATATATACAGTATATACAGTATATATATAGTCAGATGTACTTTGTTGTAAGATATTCAGCACCACAACTGTGTTAAGAATGTGTTTGGTAATGTAGGGCGACAATAATCACTGCTGCTCCATATCTTCATTTACATCTCTGCAGACGACCGTTTTTAACAGATGAATGTGCTGTGGAGGCAGAGACGACTGTGAGCAACGCAGGAAACACATCTTGATAATAAAAAGCTTGATTGTTCTATTGTTCAACCAAGAGTTGTGAAATCCAAACCTAGAGAATACAATACAAGCTCTAATAACAGTCTTCACAAATTTATCGCCTCCATTTCGTTTATTAAATCCTCCTTTATTTTCCTACCGCTTCTCTCCTGCTCGCTCCTCAATTCATTCATTTATTCCTCCCCTGTGGTTTCTGTTCTAAGCCAGTGGAGATGATGGTTTTAAGTCTCCGAGTGCTGGTCCCCATTAGCAGCAAACTAAAATCTGCCTCTCTGACTGAGATGCTTTTGTTCAGCATGCCTGCTCATCACTATTGTTCGACGCCGGGGCTCCTATTTGCAACCAAAAACCTCTAATGTTTAATAGCAAAGAGGCATCTTTAATGTGGCTACATGATATGGGAAAGAAAAGATCTGAATGGATTCCAAACGATGAGAAGCGAGCACAAAGTACAAATGAATACAAAGCGTACAAATGACACACAGAGAGACGAGACAGTGGGATTCACAGTTTCCTGGAGAAAACCTGTTATTGCTCCAAATCTCTGCAACTGAAAAGACAAAATGTGAAAATCAGCTCCAATCAAAATGGTTTCGAAGAAAAGATACTGAAACTTTTACAAGCGGATGTTCAAAAATGTGTTGTTTAAGATATATCAGTCTTTACTGTTTATGTATAATAATGGCATTAAAAGCTACATACAGTCAAAGTCATCACTCTGTTCTGTATCTCACCGCAGCTACAGCTGCCCACCGTGTGGAAAGAATCCCAATTTGCAGTTTTAAAATTAGATCATGCTTTAACGCTGCTCATGCCAGCTGATGAATGATCTTCATCTTCATTAGTCTTCATTCTAATAAGCTCTACTTCCTAAACACATTAAGCTACTATTAGCCAAACTGTAAACACTTGCCGTGTGATTAACTCAAACTAGCACGCAAAAGTTTGCATGTCCACAAAAGCAAAGTCAAGTTTAACACAACAATGGTGGAAAGAGTGGTCTTTGAATTTTTGAAGCCTGCAGGAAATTTAAATGATGTCTAAGCCGTTGTGAAAGATCTTTGTCACAAAGGGAAGCTGCTCTGGGATGCAGCTGAAAAACCCATTCAGTCAGCAATGAGGGGTTGGTTTTGTGCTTTGAATTGAGCAATTGGCAGTCAAATTGTCATTTGTGGATATTGACTGAATGCGTCGCTCCTCTCTGGGGAAAGAGACTCACTCATTTTGCATCTAAATTTGTTTACCAACTAAAAAGCAATCACATCATTAAAAAATGAATCCTGTGATACATTATATATGATGAAAGGCGGTGAAACACAATCCTTCCTAGAAGCTGAGGATTGTTTCCCTCAGCACTTACAAGCAAAAACACGAACAGGTGACAAATTAATGGAAATGAAAACACAAGCTATGTCGGTGCTTGGTGGTTTGACAGACGCTCGAAACCTCCCAGGTATTCAGATATCCGATGACGTTGCGTGATAATCTTCACCGTCATCAGAGCATTCAGTGGGGCCTCATGTCCTATCATCCCGGGAGAAACCATTCCACTCAGGACAGAATAATTGGTGTATATAATAATTTGACTTGCAATGACCGTTCTGTCTCAGTGGCCAAGAGAACCCAAACCATGGCAGCAAAATGCTCTCACTGAATAACACAACCACCAGATCCCCTCACTGTTGGTGTCAAGGGTTCAATCTTTCACCCACGTGGACTAGAGACGTTCCTTTTTCACAGGGTCCAATATTGTCCACAGAGCTATTGCGTTCAACAGCAATCTCAAACTGCCAGTCGCGTTGCTCAGTAACTAAACCAGACTTTAAATACAACAGCAATGATTGGCTCTTTGTGCTGTGCACATACAAAGTCAGGTTAGTCCTCCCTTGCAGGTTTGCATTCACTCACGCCTGCATTGCCTGCATTGCCTGTTTACAACGTTCTGTTACAAATGCAGACGAGAACATTGCTTCAAAGTTTGTACTAGCTAATAATAATCCAACAACCTATGAGGCGAGAAGCCTTTACACTCCCTTCCCTTCTCAAACTCAAAATCCCATAACTGCTATTAGCTTCTGGTAGACTCATCCAAACACCATTAGCAGCCATCCACTATAAGTTTTCATTGCCTATAAAGCCATTGTTACTGCTGAGAAGCTGCAGTGCTGGTCTGCTCTGCTTTATAGCTGCTGCTGCAGATGCTTACACTGCCCTTACCTCTGCTTTAAGAGGCAGCACACGTCCTTGAAACGCTTGTTTTGTGCTGGCAAACAGATGTGTCCTTGGTCAGCATGAGCCTAATATACAATATAAGGGTACACAACACAGGACACAGACAGGATACCTTCACACTGATATTCATGGTGCTATTATACCTAACCTTGTACAATGTAAGATGCTCCACAAAGAACTCCAGTAAAACAGACACCACATTGTAGTTAGTCCTCAGTTTTGGTGTTATAATTTACCCACACATGTCTTGAGTTTCATGCAGTCTCTCTTCTTTCTTTCTCTGCTTTCTGCTGTTTCTTGCAATCAGCAGTAGAGCTGAATTTATTATTAAAGGGGTTAAAGGCAGGATAGAGCATGCAGGACAGAGAACAGCCAGCCACTGCAAGCAATTAACTGAGCTATTCTCACAGGCACACAATCTGATATTACATGAACTTCATGCTCAGTAGCTGGCAGGTTAAAAACAATTTGATGTCCAATTGTGCTGAAACGTGCACTCTCAAATGATGCTCAGTGAGGTCATTTATGTGAAAGATCAGGCTGCTGCACAGGTGTGAAAATGCTGCACATTATTATTATGTGGTGCCTACTCGAACTGAACTGGAACAGAGCACTGTGCTAATGCTCTGTTTATATCACAGGCAAAATGTGAAATGCAAGGTTTGCAGATCTAGAGATGAATACAAACTCATGGCTTTAATGCTGTCATTTTACTTTCCACTCAAAAGACCACTCACCCCAAATCCAAAGCACAAATGTCGCACACAGTTTACACTCTGAGTGCAACAGCAGGGCGCAGTCTGTACTCAGGGAGTGTAAACTGTAGTTGGGCTGAAGTTGGTTTGATTGGTTTGACACCAGATTCTTACAGGCCCAAAAGATTTTTCCATTCATGGCATAAAATCCTTTTTTTTTCCTCTTTTTTTTTGTTTGCAGACTTTAAATCATGAACTGAATGGAAGTTTATGGGGAACTTCCTTTGTACCTTTAGGGTGTGCTTTAAGGTGGGCCTGCCTCATTATGAGGATGTAGGGTTTCCCTCGGGTCTCACTTATGTCCGAACCTCACTCATTGGTGAAAACACCAAGACTGCACCATTGAAGTAGCTCAACATGAGGCACCACGATGGAACTAAAGTAAAGGTTGGTATCGTCATAGTGGCTTTTATCTGCTGACAGGTAAAAAGCTCAATCAGCACTTCCCGTGCTAACAAACCCAACAACCTGTCTGTAACCGCTAACACGTTGTACCTGTTGTATGACCAGTTTCATGTTTTATACAACTTCAAACACTCATCGTGTCACTTTATATGTCTCAGTTTCTATCAAGATACAAAACTCTCCCCTAAACCCCCCCCTCTTTGACATGCTTTCCCTAGCTACTTACCCTAACCATCAGCTAAACCTAACCATAACCCAACTGTAACACTGACAATGAAAACACATTTTGAGAAAAATGCCATCAAACTTGTGGGGGCGGCTGTTTTGTCCCCATAAGCGACTGTTGGCCCCCACAAGTATAGTGGCATGCCAATTTTCTGTCCACACAAAGATGTCTAAACATGTACACGCACACACGCGTACAAAAAACAGCATCATGCTCATCACACATTCTTCGTGTGCTCTGTCAATATAACTGCAAACACAAACACACAGACATTAGCAACACGCATGTAGCTATCACTTCTGTGTTTGTGTGTGTCTGTGTGTCTGTGTGTGTGTGTGTGTGTCAGACAGCAACAAAACTGACAGATGTGCAACAAAGTACAGCAGTAACCTTCTAACCTGTGGTGGCTTCAGAATGACAGAGGCATTATGAGTGTGTGGGTGGTGTGTGTGCTGTGTTTGTCCGTGTGTTAGCCTTGTTAAAGATCCATTTCAATTCTGGAAGATTCAATATTTATCAAATAGAGACGCAGGTGTCTGCCTGCGGGATCTGAAATTACCACAGAGGATGAACGAGAAATGGAAAGAGAGGGAGGAAGAGAGAGAGGGGAGCTTCTGTAGCTTCTCCCCAGACCTCTGATCATTCCTATGCTTAAGTGGGTTTCAAGTGGTACATTTAGAAAAAACTCAGTAAGAGCAGTCATACTCTGGACCCCTGGTGGAAGAAACCATCAGTTACTCTGCAAAAGCGATCCTACCTGCTTCAGAGGGTTTCAGTATCTCTTCAACAATGTCAGCCTCTCACGACGAAGTACGGTAGCGATGTGATGACTCGATCAGGAACAGCCTGAAAAAAAAGAAGATTTTCATTGATTAAAAATCTTTTTTTGGTTAATTAAAATGAGAATTCAATGTCATGTAAAACCTTATCTGCCAAGTCTCAATGCAGGCTCAATCATCCAGGCAAGGAAGTTCCAAAAAGTTGATTCTTTTCACCTGGATATAGATATTTTGCGCATCCAGGTAATAATAATAATACCAATACTAATACTACTACTAATAATAATAATAAACAGTACAGTGTGGTGAAAGTGGTGAAAATGCTACGTCCAGATGAACAGAATCAACTTTTCAGGACTTATCTGCCAAGTTTTCAGGTTCTTGGCATCGATACACAAAACCAACTGCAGTTACAAACAAGCTGCTTTTAAGCAAACACCTTTTGAGAAGCTGGGAAAAAAGAACTTTTTCACAATAATATAGTTTCAGAAGATTTTTGACAAATATACTGAGGCTGGACATTTTATACCTCAAGAATAAACTCACTTATTAAAAGTAGCTACTACCTGTCTGCTCGGCCTCACCTCCATTAATCTGTGTCACTAATTATCATCATTATCAATTATCACTAAAGTCATAATTTAGCACTCACATCTTACACAAATATATTCCATTCTGGATCCAGTAAAATCGAAACAAAAAAACTGAAAAAGAGAATGAAACAACAGCACAAAAGATTAGGTAGAGTTGAAAAACAATGTATGATAATAATAATAATCTATTCATTCTCTTCCGCTTATCCTTTTTCAGGGATGCAAGGGGCTGGAGCCAATCCCAGCTGTCTTAGAGAGGCAGGGTACACCCTGGACAGGTCGCCAGTCTGTAGCAGGACACACAGACAATCATTCACACTCACATTCACACCTATGGGCAACTAACCTATCCCCACTAACTGCATGTCTTTGGACTGTGGGAGGAAGCCACAGTACCCAGAGAGAGCATGCAAACTCAAAGATCCTGGAACGGTGGAATTGAACTTAGGACCTTCTTGCTGTGAGACAACAGTGCTAACCACCATGCCCAATAATAACAACATTAATAATAATAATAACTTTATTTATATAGCACTTTTCAAAACACAGAGCTACAAAGTGCTTCACAGTTCAAATAACACTAACCTATAAAATCGAGTTTTCAGCATTCATAAAACAAACAACGTGAGCCGACCTGACTGTCTGAGGAAGGCTGTTCCACAAAAGCCTCAAAAGCACGATCACTCCTGGTCTTAAAATCAGAGCATCAAAGCAAAATGATGTCAAAGTAGCTATAAAGTTAACATGGAGGTGATTTTAGAGCCCTTCATGGCTGTTGCCATAGTGGCCACACCATGTTACTACAATTTGATTCCATGACCCAAAAATAACTTTTCTCTTAATTTGGTTGATCGTGGCTCAAGAGTTGGCAGTTCATCTTGTAACCGGAAGGTTGCTGGTTCTAGTCCCGGCTCGGACAGTCTCAGTCGTTGTGTCCTTGGGCAAGACACTTCACCTGCCGCCTACTGCTGTTGGCCAGAGGGGCCGATGGCGCGATATGGCAGCCTCGCTTCTGTCAGTCTGCCCCAGGGCAGCTGTGGCTGCAACTGTAGCTGCCTCCACCAGTGTGTGAATGTGAGAGTGAATGAATAGTGGTATTGTAAAGCGCTTTGAGGGGCCGCTATATAAATGCAATCCATTATTATTATTATTACTAATGTGAAAAAGGACTCTGTTTATCACTCGAGTATATTCCATCTGGTCTGCTGACATTTGGAAAGTATAGATGAGCTGTATGATTTTGCAGAGAGCCAGCAGAAAGTCAGCTAGCTTGGCGGGAAGAAATCTGATCTGAGCATGTTCTCTATGGGCTTCACTTAGAAAAAGCAACACTGTAGAAGCCCGTGTTACGTCATGGTACCAAATGGAGGAAGACTGGAAAGGTTTTTTTTGGCGTCTGCATCATTGAGCAGCTGTCATTTGAATGCATGAGGCTTTTGGCTGTTTGTGAAGATAAAAAACAAACTCCGCAGCGCAGTATGGTGCTTCTGCATATTCTACCTTTTACAAGTTGAAAATTCACGTCGACTTGTTCCCTGCTCGCAATAAAGTGCAAACATTCAATAAAGATTGTGAATCGGGGATTATGAGGTCACACATCAAACATATAGCTTTGTGTGATGTGACTGGATTAACAAGACAGAAGAAGATCTAAATGATCATGAGAGATTGAGGTCTATTCAGCAGTTAGAGATGATCCCCTTCACTTAATCTCGCTAACATCTGAATCAAACGCCACCCCTCGTCTTCAACACCCGGCAGCTGCGCGTGAATAAAAGCAAAGCGTCCTCCCTCTCGCTCTCTCCCAGAGTGCTGATATCGATGATGGCACAGCGAGGATGTCAGCGTTTCACTTTTAAATGAGCAAGTCAGGATGCTAGAGTGTCAGCTCCAAAGGAAGCCCTTTGTACTGCAGAGGCCAATATGCCTGGTTAATGAGACTGTGGCTCAGACCCGGACAGTGAGGCCTTGTGGGAAGAATGCTGCCGCTCCTCTGGTCTTATTAAGATGAGAGGAGAGATAAGTAGATGGGAGAGAGTAAGTCTGTCCAGCCCTCCTCTGTCTATAATCTGTCTGCTGACATTGTGCTACATTCAACCGTAATTACGCTTTGGGAGGAGTCGTCATCCACAGTGGGAGACGTGATACTGAGGATAATCATGCTCATAATGATAACCAGAACTTTACAAGATCTGATCTAAAGGCGGCTACAGAGATTTTCAGCAACTGTTTTGAATGCCACACTGTGCAACATCGATTTAAAGACTCAGGTTTGATATATAAAGTGTGGATTGGCATTTTGAGCAAACTCACCACTGAGTATTTGCTCTCCATGATTGTTGGTATATACTGTAGAGTATGGACTGGACCTTCTGGCTGAGAAACTGTGGGAAATTACACATGCATGTGTCTGTGAAGGTTCTCAGTCATCCAGGTCATCGTAGTCAAAGGAGCTTGCAAAGAAAAGCGTCTGGACTTCTTTAAGTTGCTTGAAGACCAGAAAAGAAGACCAGACACCAGCGAGGGAGGATAAGAAGGACAGACGCAACAACATTGTCATCCTCTATGTAGCCGGTGTATCAGAAAAACTCAGGAGAGTTTTCTCCAAGCATGACATCCCGGTGCATTTCAGACCCAGCAACATGCTCAGACAAAAACTGGTTCACCCGAAAGACAAAACGCCAAAACACAGACTTAACAATGTGGTGTTTGCTGTACAGTGCTGCGAGGAATGCCCAGACCTCTACATCGGAGAGACCAAACAGCCACTTCACAAGCGCATGGCACAACACAGAAGAGCCACCTCCACAGGACAAGACTCAGCAGTCCATCTGCATCTAAAGGTCAAAGGTCACTCTTTCGAGGATGCCAATGTTCACATTTTGGACAGAGAGGACAGATGGTTTGAAAGAGGAGTGAAAGAAGCATCTATGTCCACTGTGAGCGACCATCTTTGAACAGAGGCGGGGTTACGACACCAACTCTCTGCCATCTATAATCCAGTTTTGAGATCCCTTCCCAGACGCCTTAACGCCCACTCACATCCTGGGCCATCTGACCTCAGGAATTCGCATGATAAGGTGGGGCCAGGTTTCACAATGAACTCACCCGAAACTCTGGCTGATTGGGACCCACACCCAGTTTCACACCTTGGCTCAGGCGATTAGAGGATCATCAGGGGGTCCTTTTGTCCCTCTGTGGGGGTCACTCCCACTAGGTTTATATCTGGGACTCTCCACCATTTGACCTTAGAACTGAAGAAGCTTCTCGGATGAGAGGTGAAACGTCTTCAAGCAACTTAAAGAAGTCCAGACGCTTTTCTTTGCAGGCTCCTTTGAACACATGCATGTGGCAGGGTAAGCCCACCATAAAGCATACCTGCTTAATTTTTTCCTTTTAACTAATAATAACCATAATTTATGAAATGAATGCCATGCTGCATTTAGTAAGACTAGAAAATAGCAACTGAGAGCAGAAGAAAACATGTCAGAAATTACAGTTTTTTTCCATGGACTTCTGGAGTTGCCCCCTGGTCTTTACTTTGTCTTTACTTCTTAGATTTGGAAACTACATCCAGCTTTATTCATGCAGTCTGTGGTAAAAAGAAAGAAAATGCACAAATAGTTGCATAAACAATTTGATTTTTTGCATCCATCATTTAATGACTATTCACTTATTCAAACATCATGACCTTCTGTACGATTTAAAATGTAGATCTGCATGGTGATTCTCTAATATCTGCTGTTTCACAGCCTATGATGAGTGTGCACTTCCTTGTTTCCTCCGATGCTGCGTCCTACTTAACTTTCACGATAACACCTGGAGGACACATGCAAACAAACAATGTGCCAAAACTATTATTTGTTCTTCTTTGTTGAAAGAAGTCTTTCACTTTGCATTTTTTGCCTCCATTTATTCTATTCGGATTTTTTAAAGTATTTCACAGTTGCACCAGTGTCACATTAATTAGTCCCACTGTGAGATCATTATTCTAACTTTTGCCCTTGATCAGAACAGGAGGGACTGTAACAATGGCCAACTTCTCTCATAGTGCAGCTGGAGTGGTGACCAATGATACCACCACAGTTCTGTCACACTGGTCATCTTTCATCATGAACAATGAAAAATGGCACAGTTTACTTTCAGCTTTATACATCTTTAATACATCAGATAAAGAGAATGTTATTATTTTTTCTTCAAAAGCACTGGCTTTTGTTCAAAGTCTATAATTTATCCATAATTCACTGATTACAACAAGTCTTTAGAAATTAAACATGACACTGGCAGCTTGCTCTCACCAAATAAAAATGATCTGTAGGAGTCCAGAATTAGTGGACCAGCCAGCAGCAGCATTTTTGCTCACCTAGCTTGGTATGGGTTTGTCCTCAACATTACATTAACAGAAATTTGATTGATTTGATTTGATTTTATTGATTAGCATTCAAATTCAAATCTCAGTGAAAACAGTGAAAAA